AATGCATTTTTATGCTGTGTTTTGGCCATTTGACTTCCAACTCAGAATTATTCACCCATGTAAATTAAGTTGCTAATGACTTATATGCGGCCTAAAAATATTCAGAATTTTGTTTTTCACGATTCATTGTGCTCGGTGACGACCTGAACAAAACTGAACTTGAAGACAGACAGATAGAATAAACATGCATCAACTTTCGCTTAATTGAAACCTGTGCTGTACACACGAGACGTGACCAAGATATAAAATTATACCAAAAGTGCTCCAAAATATTCAGCACTCAAACTTGATTACATCTGCTCATTCTACGACATGAATGAAACACACATTACATGTAAATTTAGCACTGAAAAATCGCTTCCATATCGACATATTTTATGCCAAATGTTTTTGCGACTTTAATCACTGTCGATAAATTTTGAAAGCAAAAAACCAAGTGAAAGCCCGACAGATAAGAACTTACGTTATATAATTAGTTTGTGAATACTCGCCATACATTTATTGAATTTGAACTACTCCAAAATACCGCAACAGTCGTAAACAAGTCGGTTTGGGTAAGTTCATAAGATTAAGAAATATTTTGAAGAACAAACTACTGTCAATGTGTTAATTTTTTTTTGCAATAATTGCTGATAAATTCTGTGAAATGACAAAAGACATTTTCAAATGAAATTTGAATTTGATTGATGTGTTTTGTGCAACTACAAAATACTAAAACATTCGTGAACAAGTTTGTATAAGTTAATAAGATTATGAAAATATTTTGAATGAACAAACCACTGAATCAGATACGACATGTTTAATTTGTGTACAATTTCTAAATTATAATGCGAGTTTGTACGAAGGTTATTTAAAAGCATGTGTTTATTGTGGTCTCCCTAACAAGATATAAAGATTTTTTAAAAACGAGACATTGGGTTTTATAATGGGTTATTGTTAATTTAGGTAGGAAATCTTTTCCAGCTTGGATTGTACGCAACACAGGACAAATCGAGAAAAAATAAAGCAATAAATTATACATACACCAAGTAGGCAATTATATTGATTAATACTACAATGAAAGTTGGAGCAAACCAATTGTAAATCTGTGATCTAAAATACTCACTTAGTTCAAGCTTTGCTCCAAGGGAATCGTTTATTAAATTTGGCAAAGAGATTTCAACAGAAGCAATTTGTCTTGTGCTACAGACACGTACACTTACAGCTGGAGAGAGATTTTATAGGCAACACGGCAAGTTATAAGTCGGAAAATAAAATCAAATTGAAGATTAAGGTATCGTCAATAATTGAATCGCAATGATTTAGAAGGGGAGGAGAAAAATTCAAAAGGCGATATACTTTCGCCACGTAAAAGATTTGATTTTTTTTTATAAACAAAATTTCGTTTGGATTTTGATTTTTGAATAGATATACATTTTTGTAGTTTTTAATGATTTATAGCTTGCCATTTTTGCCTTTAATAAACCGCCTCAAGGATAAGTAATACGAGCAATATTTTTCTACGACTACTCGCGCACAAGGCTTCGCTGCAAGTTGAGATTCAGTTTGTTGTGTGTTTTACCATCTACCTGTTCAATAAATTTTTGTGTTGTAAGTAGTAGAAGATCCTTCTACTCCTTGCAACATAAAAATTTCTTGAGCAGGTAGAAGGTAATACGCGCAATAAATTGTATCTTGCCTTGCAACGTAGCCTTGTGCGCGAGTAGTTGTAGGAAAACATTGCTTGTATTACTTCTTCTTACTAAAAACTTGTGCAAAAATATTTTGCGTGAGATAGTGTATAAAAGTTTTATGGCGGAAATTTTTACAAGACAAACTCTATCAATTTTTGTCATAAAAATGTTGTAAGGGGAAACGCTGTGCAAATTTGCTCAGATTTTCCCGCCAAAAGACTTAGTATATTTTTGAAAAATTTTTCTTGACAACTTTTTAATGAAAATTACTTAACTAATTAAAGAAATAAAACATTACTCAACTAGACAAAGTGTTGATTGCCTTATTGTATTAGAAATAATTACTACAAGAAAAACTTAGAGCAAACAAAGTATTTGACTTTTATTGGTAAAGGAAATAAAGAAATGAAAACAACTTGAAAAGTATTGTTTATTTTTATTAATAGTAGTAGTTAGAGTAAATAAACTTTTATTTTTTAAAAAAAAAAATACGACGCATGCGCCGTGGGCGCGCCGTATTTTTCTAAGTCTCTTGGAGCAACATTCCAATCATATTTTCGTGAAGACAAGAAATTAACATAAAAATTTATCCAAGCAACTCTAAGATTTGCGCAACATTACTTACCAAGGAGACGTCTTTCAGCAAAATTGAAAAAAAAAAAAAAAACCGAAAATTTCAACCAAACTTTGTTTTAGCAGGTAATCCTCAGAGGCTGTTAATAATTTAACCGTGCAAATCAGTCCTAAGAAGTGGCTGAACTCAGCTCAAAATGCTTTGTTATGCGTGCAAAACAGCTAACATTACATACGCCTTGGATTGCGCGTCCAAATTCGTCTTATTTGGTGAGCGAAGCATCGAAATAATTTGTTTAAGCGCTCAAATCAGCAGCACTGTTTTTAAAATCTCAAAATTCAGCAAGCGAAGCATCTTAAGATTTTGTTTTCGCGTTTTCAGTTTCAAACATTCTACACCAACTGGATAAACTTGCACGGTTAAATAAATACTCATTAATCTTGGCGCCGAAGAACACAACATTTCTGCTGGATGGCTGGAAATCTTTCAGCCAAAATATTCGGAAACAGCGCCAAACATAAATTTTGAAAGCAACTCATCGTCAGCTATAACACACAGTTTTTTTTAAAGTAAATATTTAGAACTAGGTAGAATTGATGTGAAATATTTTTTTTAATTAGGCAGTCAGTATAAACAATGCGAAACAGGCGGTAGCAGAAACTTCTCAGCTCATTTTAAAATTACGAAACGTATCTTGTGCAGCTAGCTTTGCATCCTCTAATCGACAAAAATGGTCTCGTAGGGCTCAAAACAATATATTTTTTAGTTTCCAATTGAAGAGAAGAATCTATGGCGCGTTTGTTTGTTTGCCAAAATGTATTCTTTCAAGGTCTTGACACGAGAATTTGGTGAGAGGTGACAATTGAATTAATAAAAAATCCCTGATTTCAACTCAATTTGGTCCATCATATTAGTTTAGCCTTCAGTTACATTTATTGTTAACAATTTATTTTGTTTCTTTTTGCGATATATAATTTCAATTGTTTGTTTTTTTGTTTGTTTGTTTGTTCTTTTGTTTGTTAGCTGTCTAGCTATCTAGCTTACTTCCTCTCCGTCACTTCAGGGCATTGCGATTTCCATCAGCCAAATATCTTGCGGAAACGGAAACGAAAATTTGGCACTCGAAACCTCAGTTTTTATTAGACTTTTGCTAGTCTAGAGGCCTAGTGTTTCCCCAGTCATCTTTTGGAGTAGTTCAACAATATTGCTGTCATAATTTGTTCTGCTATGGTCTCACAAGTTAAACATTCCTTGTTTTCACTGTTGTTTTTGTTACAAATCGTTATACTTTGCCTGTTGACAGTAAATGTTTTCAGCCTTGTCATAAGCACGGTCTGTTGAATGTGATCGTATGGGTGAGTGTAGCAGCTGGTACGTATTACTTCCAGTTGATAAAGCAAACTACTCAAACTGGGTCTCTTTTTAGACACTGGTTTGGAAAGTTTGGAAAGTGTCAAAAGTACGTCAGTTCAATGTGATCATATGGGTGAGAATATTCGCAGTCAGGTGTTTGTTGACATTGACTTTCATTAAGCAAAATTAACTAGTTCTCTTTAGAGTACAGTGAAAATGGTTTCAACCCTGTCATAAGTAAGCCAGTAAAATATCATCTAATGGTTGTCAGGGGTCATTTTGGTGAGAATGAGAATGATTAACGCAAACAAAGTCTCTGTACAGTATCTGATTTGATAAGTGCCAAAAATATTTCAGGCAAATGTGATCGTATGGGCGAGTGTAATCCTCAGTGGCGCAATTGGCGACAATAACTTGCGTTTGGCAGAGTAAGCCATCAATCTCCCACGCCATCAATCTTCGGCTTCGAAGGGTAGGCGTTACTGGTAAATAAGCTCGTCAGTTCTTTGAATAATAAATGGTTCCAATCCGTAGCATAGCTAAAGAGGAAGTGTAAACTTCTTAGCTAGTTGAACGAGTGTTCGTCGGAGTGTTGCTTAACAATCAACACCTGATACCAATAGGTCGAGGCAGGGCTGTATGTACCAAGCTACGTTTTGAAGTGTTTGCGGTTGTACTGAACGTACGCAGCAAATAAGATAAAGGTAGAATAGGTCTGTAATGTAATTTCTAATCACTTGCAACTTGATAATGAGCTATTTTAGATGGCCTTCCTAGCACAGTCTATTGCCAGTTGGAATGTGGATGAACAGTGACACCACCTCAACATCAGTCTGTAGTTGGAAGGTATTTGCCTCTACTTCCTGTCGACGCCTAGATGACGACGGGAAGAAAGCTGACTCCATAAGGCTTGATCTTTCATACAACTTTCAAGATCTCTAACAACCTCCAGACTAGTATCCCTCAGTAGTTTGTTAATATCATTATGTAGTTAAAGGACATCCTCTTTCTACCAACCCCCTTCCCTCAGGAGGCACCCAAGTTATCACTGAGCTATTGCGCTGGAGAGCTCTCATCACGAAAAACATGTCCAGACAGAGAAATTCTTCTATTTTTGAATGGTTCAGGTCACCTTTTTTAAACTACCAAAAGCTTGTTACTTGTAAGCTTGTTCTTCCACGATTTGTTTTTCATTATTCACACCATTCTTGTGTTAGTTCTATCTAGGCTCTTTTCTTCTCTTTTTTTTTTCAAGGACCAAGTGGTACTCTCGCCAGGGATAATTGTTTCCATAGTAGCTCTGAATAACTTAAGCTTGATCTTTCTGCCAAGTCACTAGTCACTCTTCCACAAGTTCTTCTTTTTGTTCAGTGATTGCTAGGCCAGTTCCTTGCAAACATTTATGTCTCTTTCCTTAGAACATTTCCAGCTTCCCAGGTATTTGAATCTTGTTCCCCTGTGTCTTCCACAACGATTTGCTTGATTTTCGTACCATCAACTGTCTTCATTTCCTCTTTTTCAATGTTGAAATACTTAGCTTTAGTCTTTTTTGCATTCAGTAACAGCTCAACCTTACCACAATCTATCTCCACATTGCACAAAAGCTGCCTGGCTTGCCTAATCTCGTCGGACGGAACAATGTCATCAGCAAAATCAAGATTTCTGGAATCCTAAGACTCTCTCTCTCCTCATAGTAAAAAAAAAAACAACCAAAACCAAGTAGGCACCTCCTCTTTTCCTTGTGTGGCTGACCTCATTGCTTAATCGAGCACAACGCCAATAGATATGGTGCAAAAGCGTCACCCTTCATGACTCCGGAAAATATTTGGTTTTAAGGTCGCTCGATACAGTTTTTCAGGGTCAATACCTCCCCAGTTTGGGCATTAACTACGTCACCATTGATTAACAAAGATTTGACACCACAGTTGTATTAGATAAAGATGAAAAGTGTTACGATCAGGGTTGCAATGACTTCGGAGTTGCCCTTATTTTACTGCCTCACAATATATCAATAATCTTGAGACTCAAAAGTCTCCTAAAACGACGCTTAATCTCGAGAATCTCAAATTGTTTTAAAAAATCTATCGAGCGGTTGAAAAATTATTCGCTAATTTGTTAAAGTAGACCAAAATGTTTAAAAAACCACTAATGAGAGCACCTCCACACATACTAATCAAACCCTTCTTTTTAGCAATCGGCAGGAGCTATCTCCGTGATCTTTCACACACGTTTTAAAAAAGATTAAAACTACTATGAGGGAAATTGCATGTCAAAAGCGCTTCGCTTTCTACAGATAACGGCCACTCATCAAGATTGTCCATTTTTACTGTATTACTAACAATAAAAACTTCATCCCAAAATATTTCGATAACGCTCTTACAGATTCCGCTTAAACTTCACGAACATCGAGGCGGCTGTTAGAGAAAAACGCTCACGTGAACGATTTTGCAAGAACAGTTCGCAGTGCGGAGAAATACAGCTGCAAGTAAAATAGATAATGGCGTCATTTCGTTGCTATGACAACTCCGATGTCATTGCAACCCTGATCGTAACAAATTTTCATCTCTATCTAATGCATCTGTGGTGGCAATTTTTCAAAATCTTTGTCAATGGGATGTAGTTTAAGCTCAAGCTTGGGAGGTATTGACCCTGAAAAACTCTATCGAGCCACCTTAAGTTGAGGATGGTGAATTGGCCTGGTTTCTCCTCATTTAACAGCTTTTCGTCCGCAAAAAAGTGGTAGAAGGTCGTCGATCTTGGGCATTATGTCATCCTCTCCAAGTGCTTACCTTCACTTATCCGCTTCTTAGCATTTAACACTGCCTCTATTGTGATTCAGTCAATTATTCCAAAGTTATGCAGTCCAGGTTGAACTCATCGTTGTGTCTTCAGCGGGGGTTCCCGACAAGTTCAGATGCCGCTACTTTACGATTGGTTGCGGGGGTCACTTGCTTTGAACGTATTCGCACCTTCCCCAATCTGATCGTTAATACGTTGCTCCTTAAGTTCCTTGTGTACTGACTGAAATTCAGCTGCGGTTTCTTGTAATAGCTTCCGCACTCCTTTTATATCATGGATGTAATGTTTTCTTGTTAGTCTTTCGATTCCCTTTCGTGCGTCGACTATTCTTGCATTGTTCGAGTGTCTTACCTCTCTTTCTTTCCTAACTAGCAGGAGTGTTGCTGCGGCTGCATATTTGCTTGCTTCTACTAATGCGTCGTCGTAACAGCGTCAATGAAGTTCTTCGCACACTGTAGTTTGCTTGTACTCAAAGTGGAATATGTCGGTACGTTCATCAAAATTACTGCTGGAATATTGAGTCGAAAACCCACGCAGAAAACGAGACCATGAGCTGCGTAGATGTGTTACGTGATTCGTAGACCATACAACGTCGGTGGCGTTGAATGTCTCGGTCAGTCTAAGGACAGTTGAAGTGGAATGCGGTTAAACAGTTGATTCACATCAAGGACTGCGTTTCTGTATCGTCTTAACAGGGAGATGTTCGTGAAAATCGTTGTGTACAGCAGTGAATGTGTCGTCAGCGTATCGTAAGAGGTATAATTCGCGTATAAGTAGCTAGGGCTTGTTCCTCGATGCTTTAAATAACAATTTCTCCTACAACAACAGAAACTGGAGAGCCCATAGATAGTTGGAACAATGTTGCAACGCTGTGTTGCGCCAAAAATCGTTGTTGCGAATCATTCCGTGTAACATCACCTTAAATGACCAGTGACGTCACGGCTGTTATTTCATTTTGTTAAAATTGCCAATTACACGTCCTTTCTTCTAAATGTAATTTAACGTTAGCAAAGAAATGACTTACAAACGATAAAATCACTGCTTCATGCCAAATAAAATTTGTACCCAAGAATTAAATTAGCGTTATAGACAAAAATAATGAGCCTTGAAAAACTGTTAAACTAAGAAGTTTTCAAAAACCTCAATTTCAATCCATTTCAATCTTCTTTAAGTTTGTCCATCCGTGCCTCCTTTAAGTTTTTATTTGTACAGTGTTAATTACACCTTGTTATAATATTTGGAGCTGATATTTTTAATTGTCACTCAGTTTGGTGGTGGTTCTCATTGTTTGAATTTTGATAAATTTCGTGACACAGCTCCTTTTCGCAACAAAGCCTCCTTTCGTGACACAGCTCCCTTTCGTGACACAGCTACCTTTCGTGACACAGTCTCATTTTGTAACACGTACTTTTTTAAGGTGGGACAAGTTGAGGTTAGGGTACAATGTGTGTCGCAACTGATCCAAAATTAAACGTTCAGATCGGCATTCCCACTTTAACTGTTTCGTGTAACAATCGACTTTCTCGATGTATACTTTGCCCAATTTTGACTTCGCTTGGTAATAAGGTATCAGATATTTCACAACCAAATTGCATTCGTCTCGTCAAAGTAGTCCTGAACTGAGTGGGATGTACTGTTGTACTGTGAAGGATCAGCAGAGTCATCTTTCGGTATGTGTTTGGTTCTGTGAAACGTAAGTTAAGGTGTCTGTGAAAGTTGTGGAAAGCGTCTATGTGTACAGATGTGGTGAAATTGTTGTCAAAGTAGCGTAGAAAGAGGGTAGGCACACTGTATATTGCTCGTTCACATTGCGTCAATTACATTACTCTTCTGCAGTAGACTGAAGTTAATTTATGTAGTACGGTCTCCGGTGAGACAGTTGGTAAGTCCCGGACAGGGGTGTGGTCCAGACCCATAGCCTCTACAAGACTATGGCAAGCTGTTTATGTTGGACTAGGTATTTGGGTACTGTAGCTTCCATTCTGCTGCACCTGAGGTACACTACAGTTTAGTATGCCGATTGTGTCAGTCTGTGTAGAGTAAGTAGATTGGTGCTAAATTTGTGTTACAACGAGGGCCTTGGCTTTCCTTCTTTAATTAATGTTAAAAAGAGCATCCACTTGATGGCAGTCTTTCTTGTCCATATTACGGCAATCATCCGTCCCATGTTTGCAGGGGGTATGACTATGTTGTTGTGGTCTTCCAGATGTCTAAGCACTTGGTTTTTCGTGTTTGTTGTATCGTCAAGTTCCCGTCCCATATAGAGGAAAAAACTGATTGTAACGTACAACCTTACCCACTTGTGATGTTGTCCTTGGTCGATTTGGATAGTTAGTTCTGACGAGAATACCTAAAGTCCTTAACGCTAGAGACAATAGCCTTCTTTCAGTATTTGTTCGTGCAACTGAGTGTTTAACTCGGTTTTGGCGTTTTCTTAGGAAGGATAGCGAGAAGCACTCTTGACTCTTGATTGTCTAACGTTTGAAGTGTATTCCAATCGCAGTTTGAAATGAGTTTGAAATACTGTCTTTTTCTTCTTCTTCTTCTTCTTCTTCTTCTTCTTCTTCTTCCTCTGTTTGAAAATACTGTCTTCTTCGAAACTGTAGTCTTAGCGTGTTTGCTAGAAATAATCGGTTGAAACCATTCAAGTTTTTCTATGCCCTTGGTTCAATTTGTCGTTGAAGTTGTCCTCCGAGTTATCTGCGATATTCTGGCGATACAGAGCACTCCAATCAATCGTTTGTAGGTCGCGTGGTTTTGAAGAACTGTCTTTGTCGGTGACTGAACTCTAATTCCATCCGTTATGTCTATGAAACAGACACATTTGCAGTAGTACTTGAACTAGAGTAGTCGTTCGAACGAGGTTGTCTTCAGCAAGTCGTTTCTTTAGCCGTGCAAGTGAACGTAACATAATTAAAAGTTTGAGCCTGGGAGTCATACGTTGGTTGAAAATGATCCTCTGGTGAGTGTAGCCTTAAACGATGACTATTAGTGGCAGTGCATGATTGATATTTTGAGAACTCTGTGAGGGAAGGTCACATGAACAGTACTAGTAACAGTACTAGTCGTTTGGCTGTCGACTTGTTAAGTCAGGACGCGATGTTAAAAGTCGTCTGTCAATTTATTCGTGCAGCTATCAGATGTTACGAGTGTAAATTTAAGTGGTCTTTTCTTCGCTTGCCACCATCATATCTGTTGGTACCTTGGTACCTTGTCAGTCAGATTTGTCAGTTTTGTTCAGTGAATTGATTTTTCAGAGCCCTAAATAGTTATTTCAAATTTTACTTTGTGTTATAACTGACAATAACAACAACCGGCAAGTTCAGTAATTCATAAAATTACGTTTCCAGACGTTTAACATGTTGCGCTGTTTCTCCAATTTGCCGCTTGCCTACCCTTATCACGATCGATTGGAAAAATTATATATATTTTTGCTACCTTTGGTCCTATTGAATGAATGCTTGAGATGTGTCCTTGACATTCCTTGAATCCCTTGATCCCTGGTCCTTGATCCTTGATTCCATGATTCCATGATTCCATGATTCCCTGAATTCCTTAATTCCTGATTTCTTGAGTTCCTAATTCCATGATTCCATGATTCCGTGACTCCATAGTCTGGTAAAAAAGAAAAGGAAAAGCATTACTTAATGACAGCAAGGTACAGGTTTGTTTAACTTAACTAAACAAAACAGAAGCTTTCGTGGATGAGAGGACAACAGACTCAACCTTTACAATAATATTAACATGTCAACAGTATGCTTGGATGGCAGCATACAAGAATGCCACTGGCAACCACTATCAGATGAGTCCATTTACATGTATGGGCTTACTATAACCCACCCAAACCATGGTGTGGATGATATGTGATTTGATTATTATTGTACAACATTCGCCAAGCTTCATGTAGCTTCATGTAATAACAGCAGGTCCATCAACATCATACAGTTCTCTCAGGACTGATAACTTATCAGCCTGATAACGTCTCTTTTTAACTCTCTACAGATTTCGCTAAAAAGCATCTTAAAGATAGAAATTAACAGCAGCACTTACCAGGTATGAGAAATCTGCCACCAGTGTCCGATACTTTCACAAGAACTTTACCACTCTAACAGGCAGGAAACATCTCTTCAATAGCTGTTTTAAGAATGACAAAAATTGTTGTAGTCACATAAGAGTAGTTTGAAAAGGTCTACAGATTATAAAACAAGCTAGGTTTTAATAAAAAAGTCATTCTTTTTTTTATTTTCAAAATTCATCCAATTTTTGTTTTTGAAACAACACAGGCCAGGTGATTACTTCCCTTACAGAAGTTAACATACATTGTTTGTACATGTACTCCTCAGAAAAAAAGTACATTTGAAGTAAACTTCAAGAATAAAAGTACAAACTGAAATTGATATAATTTCAGTTTCATTTGAACTGTGACATTATACAGCTATTTTGAGAAAGGTTGTCGGGAAAAGTGCACGCGACAACCCCGAAAGGTATTGTGGGTGGTTTTGAGTTCACTGTTTTTCAAAAAAATTTGAAAGAATGGCACTCAACTTTACATTTCTTTTAAAACTGACCGCTTTGCTGACCTCGCTCAAGCTAAGTCATCTGTTGAGCTATGTGTCAAAGATATTGACTGGTGGATGACAAACAACATGCTAAAGCTCAATCAGGAGAAA